CTAACCGAGATCTCTGTAGCAACAAACAAATTTCAAACCAGAATGATCTGTAACAGACCTTTCATTCCATGTCACGTTCCTCTTTTCCTCACAGTATAGACTACTTGCTGAGATATATATCCCTTGACATGACAGACTTGCTGGTTTGAATGGAGCACGACAGCTCAGAAAGCGTCACAGCTGAAGTGGAACTTGACCTTGCTCAGTGTCTGTACATGTATACTGTTATCAACCATTAGAATAGTGATCATGAATGTGTGGAAGGCTGTCTAAGACAGGATACTGAAATCAATGGTACTGCTCACAATATACCCTTGTTTGGGGATCTCCAAACTCAGGAAGGAATGCTTAGAACTAGAAATAACACAGTGTGGAGCTGGAGGAACACAGCAGGCCAGGCAGCATCAGAGGAACAGGAAAGCTGACGTTTTCGGTTAGAACCCTCCTTCAGAAAAATGCTTGGAACTTTGTGTCCTGTAAGTCTCAATTACTCCGTTGTCACAGCAGCTCAGTTACTGAGGAGCCAATCCTTTAAATATGGTCATTATGTTAGAAGCCCAGACAAAACCACAATATTTGTTACATTCTGCTTAAGGACCAGAAGCTTTTTTTGAGTAGATAAACTTTTAGATCCCAGGAACCCAGAAGAGAATAAAGCCACAAGATTCCATGATTATTAACAACCAAAATAAACTTCATGATACAGTGTTAGAAAAGTAAACCCATATGTAAAACGCAATATGTAAAATCCAGAATTCATATGAACATGGGTCATAAATATGGGTCAACAGGCAAATTGTGGTCAAATACTTCATAGAACAAATTGAATAGCAGATGTACTTGAGTCAGATTTCTCAATGCTTTGGGTCACCAAATTGCATTTAAAATTTGCCTCCCTTTATAACAGTTGCAAATTTTTACTTTCAAAGATCCAGCCTCTGAATTTTCTTCAAGAAAACTGCTCACATTTTGATAGTTCTGAGCAAGGGTCACTGGACCTGTAACATGAACTCTTGAGTTCTCTTCACAGATGTTGCCAGATCTGCTGAGCTTTTCCAGCAATTTCTGTTTTCGTTTCTGGTCTACAGCATTCACAGTTCTTTCGGTTTTTACTTTAACAATTCAATCTCTTTTCCCGAGACAACATTCCCCAGGATTCCAGAATCTACTCATAAGCACCTCAGAACAGACATCATTTCAGCTTTTACCAAGCTGCTGCTCCCCCTAAATTTCCCTGAGCTCCCAAACCCAGCTGTCTGGGTCACTGTTTCCAACAGAGCTGATCTATTTCTGATACTGCAGACTGCTACCCTCCAGTATCTGAACAATGGTACAATTTCAGCTTTCTAGCTGCTGTGAGCAGAACGCTACTGCTCCTGGGACATTTCTTTCCTCAACGGCTAACTGCAACAATTCAATAACGTGGAGTCATCTTCTCTGACTCTTTCTCATCAGTGAACTGATGGTACTAACTGCTGCTCACTGAGTCTTGAACTGATTTGAATGATCTATTAAAAACCTCGTAACAAGCTCTGTCCTTAATTCTTGAGAGAATCAAGTATAACTACAATGCTTCAACTGTTTGTTTTATAGTGCTGTGGAGTCTGTGGACCGTGCGTATGTTGGTTGTGGGTGTTTGCACTCCCTTTTTAGTTACCTAAAGAACCTGTTGCTATGTTTTTGGTTACACTTAACCCCCACACTCCTTATCTTTGGGCACCCGGAGTGGAGGGGTGTGTGCACGTCAGAGGACCTCCTCATGGGTCTGCTCCTGAGCCTGGCCAGGCTGGCTATAAACAGGTCCAGGCAGAGGCTGTGGAGGGAGTCATTTTGGCCAACAGCCTGCCCCTCTTCCACGGCTATGTTCGAGCCCGGGAGGAGTCCTTGGAGAGGGAGCACGCAGTGTCCACCAACGCTATTGGTGCCTTGAGGGAGAGGTGGGCACTGTGGGGAGGGGGGTTGTTGGAGTGCTTTATTTTCCCCTCCAATGCTATTTTGATTTAATCCCTACCCTCCCCCTTCACTTTTTTTTTCATATTAACATTGCCCTTATTGGGCTTTGCTTGTTACTGATTCCCTGGCCACATGGGTGTTTTCCTGGTGATGGAAATATTGAATAATGTCATTTGCACATGGTGTCTTTGCTGAGTCCCTGCACTTACGCGCACACAACACAGGTGCTGTGGGGAAAATAAGCACCACTGCTAAAAACAAAAAGGATAAAAATAACCCACCAGTGCTTAATTGTAGCAATCTGCTAGCTTATACATAAAATCTATTTTTTGTATTTATTTTTATCACAATTGAAAAAACAAACAAAAATGGCAGTGTTATTTCATTTTAATAAAACTGATGTGATTTGTCTTTATTACGCATGTATGATAAAGTTCAGCTCAAGTGGACCAGGAGCAGATAAAAGTGTATCAGAGCAGTGGAAAGCATTCAGAGAGGGAATAGCAGGAATACAGAGCAAATATCTTCTCATTAAAGCAAAGGAGGGGGTGGGGGAAACAGGTTGGAACCAAGACCTGAGAATCCTGGATGTCAGGGAACATAAAAGTTAGGGTTAGGAAAAAAAAAAGAGAAGCTTTTCGCAGACACCATGAACTCAATATGAAAGAATCCATAGAGGAGTATCAAAAATACAAGGGGAATCTAAAAGGAAATTAGGTAAGTAAAGAGAGTGCATGAGAAACCACTGGCAAGTAGACAAAAGAAAAGCCCAAAGTTTTCTTTTAAATATATAAAAAGCAAGAGAAAATAACTTTGGAAAGATTAGGGCCCGTTAGCGATGATAGAGGTAATGTCAGTGTGGACCCAGAAGATGTGAGCACAGTCCTCAACTAATACTTGCATTGGTCTTCACAATAGAAAGGGAAGACACAGGTATAAACATCAAGTTGGAGGGCAGTGAAATATTGAAAGAAATTAGGATAGTGAGTGAGGAGATACTAGAGGCTTAAGCAGTGTTATAAGTGGATAAATCTTCAGGTCCAGATGATGTTTCTTTTTTATTTAATTATGGGACGTGGGCATTACTGACTAGCCAGCATTCATTGTCCATTCCTAATTGACCATGAAAAGATGGGGATGGGTTGCCTTCCTGAACTGCTGCAGTCCATGTTCTGTCAAGGGGGAGGTGATGGCCTAGTGGTATTATTTCTGGACTGTTAATCCAGAGACCCAGACCACATTCTATCTAAGGAATAGTAAGAACTGCGTTGCTGGAGTCAG